TAATGAACACTGGCCAGGATATTCTTCTTTTGTGTTCTATAGAGTAACAATGTAAAGGATGACACATTTTCCTTTTTTTACCTGCAGTTTGTTAAAATCTCTTATGCCAAGTATGAACAATAGTAATAGTGATGCTTGATTTATTAAACACCAGTAATTAAAACAAATGATGTTCAATTAGAACAACATGCTATTAACACATTGTAAAAATAAACACAGTTAATTATTAGGTATAAACACAATCGTTCACAAGTTTGGGGTCAGTAAGAAATTCTGTAAATGTTATACTTTTATTCAGCAACAGTAGATTACTTTTTTTTTAAAGTGACAGTACATACATTTATAATGTTACAAAAGATTTTTATTTTAAATAAATCCTGTATAAAAAAAGTATAAGTGTTATATTATATACATACTACACAGAATATAATAATAATTTTAAAAAATAAGCAGTGCTATTTTTTTCAATATTGATAAAAATGAATGTTTCGTGAGCATCAAATCAGCCTACCAGAATGATTTCTGAAGGATCATGACACTGAAGACTGGAGTAATAAATTACGCTTATTTTAAAATATATTAAAATAGTTCATTTGAATTGTACTAAATCTACTAATATTTCACAATATTAAAAAAAAACGAACCTTCCCCAAATTTTTTAACAGAAGTGTACCTCTTAAATAACTCAGCTGAAACCCAACACACAGTATAATAAACTGACACCATAACCAGTCGCTATGTGAGGAGCATTACCTTGGACTTTGAGCTGACTAACTCAAGCTGAGCAGCTTCTATGTCACTGATAAGCTGCCTGTTCTCCATGGCCAGAGAAGTGTTTTCCTGCCTGATGGTGTTAAGCTTCCTCCTGAGAACAGACATGTCGGTCTCCATGTCTCTGTCTGACTACAGATGAAGACAAATCGGTGGGTTATGGGGGTCTATTTTACAAACAACAAGCATTTAAAAGGCAGCAACACTTTAGTCCATTTATCTGCTATATCTTCACAGCATCTTACCCTGCAGTCACTAAAGGATACACATGCACACACCCTCTGCTCAGGCTGTGAATATGCTCCTCTTGGTTGTCCAGGATCAGGATTCTGAAGGTCCTCTAAAGTAAGACGACCTGGGAATCCGTCCACGGCACTTCTGTTTTTATCCTCACCAGTGATGCCATTTCCTGATTGACTGAAATGAGTGCCAGAATAACTTTTTTTAATTATGATATGCTAAGAATACAAGAAATGCAATAATACTTAGCAGTAGTAGGCTACTGTATAATATCACAGTAATTATTTACAAAAGTTATCAAAACAAGCAGACATTTAAAATTACGTGGGCCAAAGCGACATTTCTAAGAAAATCTAAGAGGGGACACAAAACTGCATCTTGAATCATATCTGAAGGAGCTATCATCAAGTAAAACCCACAATGCATTTCAGCAATCCTCAACTGACTAAATGCCTCACCTCAATTGTTCCCCCAGTGACTGCAGGTTTTTCTCGGTTAATCGCAGCTGATTTCTCAAGGAAACAACATCCTCTGCCAACCCCCTGTTGTCTTTGAACATTGGTGATTGTTATGAAGAGCCCTGTAAATAAAGGTTATCTTTGTTAAATGGAGTTGGCTAAAAACTAACAATAAACTCGCACCATAATTCTAGCTTGAAACACTTTCTTATTTTAATTTACAGCGTTGTCTATCTATGGTTATGAGTAATGAGTTATCATACCTAACGTACCTTACACTCAAGTGACTTAGCTTCATTTCATGTATTCAACAGGTTGTCAAGGAACAAACGGCAACTGTACCACCATTTTTCAGCTCTCCGTTGCTTTTCGGTGGGTTAATTGACAAGATATTTCTATACTAGTGAATACCTGCTCATCAGCATGTTCAAACCTGCAGTTTTGTGCAGAAAACGCCTTGTTTCCAAATCCAGTAGATTTAGCCTAGCATTCCCTGCTTTGAGATCTAAACAAAACGCGCTGCCGTCGTCGTTTCAGTTGATTGGCTGAGACGAAAAACCGTCCTCAACAGTCGTGACGTAATACTGACGCGCTAGGGCCGCGAACGACAGCGCGAATATTACAGTGCTAAAAGGTTGGAGGTTTACGCTTTTTGTTAATGTGTGATTACTCGACTAGCAAACTGCCTGTGGCATTATCTAATTTTTATCAACAAGCTCTCAAGGCCTGGAAGTTATGTTATGTGCATAACTTTTCTCCACATAAAGCAATCTTGTGGAATAATGTTTATATTACAGTTAACCGGAAATCTCTTTATTTACAGAGTTGGATGGATAAAGGAATTTATTTTTTATCTGACCTTTTTGATCAGTCAGCTGAGTTGCTTTCTTATGAACATTTTATGAACAAATGGGCATTTCCCATTAAATATAGAGAATATTATTCTGTGATAAACGCCATTCCCACAGGTTTATTGATGTTAATGAGAAGCCATATGTTGTCCCTTAACATTTGTAGAATTGAACCCGTTCTTAATTTCAATGGGGTGGACATTAACAGTAAAAAATGCACAAATACATTTATTAGAAATCTGTTTTATGAAAAGAGATCTATTAAGCCTAGAGGGAAATTTTTCTGGAACGTTTGTTTTCCAGAGATTATTTGGAAAAAAGCTTGGCTTCTTCCCTTTCGGTTTTGTATATCTAACAAACTTCGGGAAATACATCTGAAAGTACTTCATAATATTTATGTTAGTAACTATACTTTATCAACATTTATGGATATTGATGAAAAATTTTCTTTTTGTTCAGATCAGCCAGAAATAATTTTACATCTTTTTTTTTAATGTTACCATTCCAAAAAATTCTGGGAAGATTTATCTATATATATTCAACAGAAATCTGGTTATAATTGTGAATTAACATCCAAAGACGTTATCTTATATTTTGAATCAAAAAATGCATCTGTCAATTTTATGATGAATCTAATGATTTTATTTGGTAAATTTCATATTCATAAAAGTAAAATAAATAGTTCTAAACCCTGTTTGAAGGTCTTTATGACTGATTTTCATTTGTATTTTGAGTCTCTCCATTGTATTGATAACAAAAAATGTAGAGATACAATTTTATTCGCTAAAGAGTTGAAGTTACTTGAAAATTGAACGGGTATATGCTGTCTTCTTTTTTTTTTTTCTCTCTATTTCTATGTAATGTAAACCCACTCATTTATTTGTGTTATCTTTTTGGATGTCTTGTTAAAGTTGTAAATGTTGCATGTTATGTCTTTAATGTCTAATAAAAAAAAAAGAAAAAAAATTAAATAAAAATATTAGTGCTAAAGTTTCACTGTTTTTGTTTTCGTAATATTTTTGTTTACATTGTACTGTATGGTGGTTAAAATAGCTGTTACTGCTTTGTTTATTTGTTAGGTTAAAGTTTGTCAATAGATTTGAGGGGAATAATTTTGGGCTGTTATAAATAATCTGTTCGCTTGATACATTCACCATCAAGTTATTTATAGTAGCAAATAAATTAGCAGGGCCATAAAATGTTGTTAATTGCGTGTTATGAATGAATTTTTCTCTTGGTAATATATTAAAGGGGTCATATGATGCGATTTCAAGTTTTCCTTTCTCTTTGGAGTGTTACAAGCTCTTGGTGCATAAAAAAGATCTGTAAAGTTGCAAAGACTAAAGTCTCAAATCCAAAGAGATATTATTTATAAAAGTTAAGAGTCAGCCATGCCTACATAACACGCCCCCACATATCTAGGTCACTATGTGGATTAGCATAATGCACCCAAATGTGCACGCGAAGAAAGAAGGCGTGGTTTCAGTAACTGCAGTTAGTGTTGGGGAGACGCTGTGTGATTCAGTGCTAAAGCAAAAGCACTTTATTTGGCCTTCCAGAAGTAGATGCAATTAGGAATCATTGGTTAAGATTTATTTACAACAGAACAGCACAACCCAGACGTTCGAATTGTTCGGCCAATCACAATGCACTGGGTCAGCTGGCCAATCAGAGCAGACTGCGCTTGTCGGAAGGACGGACTTTGTAGAAATCGAAGCGTTTGAGAGAGGCGAGGCATAGAGGACCTACAATAATGTACAGTATTTGAAAAATAATGTGTTTTTTGAACATTAAAGCATGTCAACATATTCTGTTACACCAAATACACAAAATAATGATCTTTAAAATAGCATCATATGACCCCTTTAATGTGTACAGTGTTGGGGAGTAACTAGTTACATGTAATGGCATTCCATAAATGAATTACAAAATAAATGTAACCGTTAATAAATCTGTTACAGTTACTGAGAAAAAAATGTGTAATTAAATTAGTTACTTATCAAAATGTGAACGATTACAAAGGGGGTTACATCTGAATATTTTCATACACATTTAATTGATTTCTTTACCATAATAAACAACCCCCCCCCCCCCCAAGGCATTGTTAGATGCAAGTGTTCCCTATCAAAGCTATGCAAAGACAAAAACAGGATCATAGCTATTAAACTTTTTATTATTTTAAATTATTTAAATCTGTAATTAACTTCAGGATGATCTCAACGTAGAAAGAGGTGCTGAAGTCTGATTTTGTGGTGGCTGTACTTTAAAATTTAATTATTATAATGAAAGTCTGACAGTAATCAGTGTTGAGTATTATTTTAAGGTTAACCCTGCCTGGTTTAAATGTTTGAAAAAGATTAACAATTTAAAACATTCATTGGAAATTTAGAAAAGTAATCAAAGTAATCGTTACATTACTTTATTAAAATAATTGAAATAGTTACACTACTAATTACATTTTAAATAGGTTAACTTGTAATCTGTAACCTATTCTATTTCCAAATTAACCTTCCCAACACTGAATATGCATAAAGTAAATAAATATGCAAACACATTAGCCACATTAGACATTTCTTAAATTATTTCTGTAAGTTTTGGCCAAATAGTATTTTTATTTTTTTCAAAAGCATTCAAAAAATGGCTAGTTACACTGATAAGGTTTTAAATCTTTATTCTTTGGCTAAAGGAGCCTACTCAAAGCCCGGAAAATACAAAGCAAGCTTTACTAACACTGGTACACCAACTGAATAATGCTTCATACACATAACATAACAAGAGCTTAATATTTATAAGATGCTTTTGTATCAAAATCAGGAGGTATTAATGTTGAAGTCCAAAACTTGCCTGATCCCAATACTACTTCCACCCTCTGCAAGTGGTTAGATAATATTATTGAGAACAGGGCATTCTCAGGTCAAAAAATTTCCACCTAAAAATTCATACAACTTTAGAATTTTAGAAATGTATGAAAATACAAAGCTAAGAACTGAAAATCTCATTTAGATGTCCTATCAAATCTTACAGTGAAGTTGTAAATTAACCTGAGTGCTCATGTGAATTGACAATTTGTTAGTGTACAGTGTTTGAAAGCAATAAATAGCACCGCAAAAAGCCTGAGTCAATTGTAACAAAAAATATTGCTGCGGTTTTCTGTTTGTAATGTGAAGCTGAAGCTGCAAAAAAAAAGAAAAAAAAGAAAAGAAACAGAAATACACAGGTCTGTTGAATTAGTTGCATAGTATAACAAAGTATACAAATAAGACTATCCCTCAGTCACAAAAATCAGACATCCGATTTAGAATTTAAAAAACAAAACAAAAACAAAAAAATAAAAACCTTTAAAACTTAAATTCCCATGGCAGATATAAAAATTTTTTAAGGGGGGGATATACAAAGACTTCCTAACGCTACAGCGCTGTCATATGCTTTTAAGATAATTTTTTATACAACAACAACAACAAAAAAAAGCCTTCTATTAGCCTTCTGGGAATGTGGAATGTCTCAGAAAATACCAAGATTTTATGTAAATATTAATGCTACTCATATATTTTAATTTTGTTTTGTGGCAGGAGAACAATTAACCATTTTCCATTGTTTTTTAACAATAATCTAATTTTATAATCAAATTCACAAGCTAGGCTGTTTAAACTGAGATGACACAAAACTGGATGTACAGGATGAGAGCTTATGTGCAATCAGTTGAAATGTAAATAAAAGTGCCCTATTGACAATAGCGCTCTCTCCTCTTGGCAATTCGAGCTATGAGAAAATGTTTAACTGAATAAGCAGAAAAAAATCCTCGGTCTCCAGCAGCATATATAGTATCTGTTTCACAACCCCTTAAGGCACTTCCACATCAGAGACAAAAAGCAAGGACTTGGGTTATTTTCACATAGTAGTGAATTGATTATGTCCTAAACCTGAAACTACAGCCACCTTCAATGTGTAAATCCAGTCCGTTTCAATTTCCACAGAGACAGGTCACATACACAAAACTTTACAAAGTCCCATCTCTTCATTATAGTCCTGAGGCCCCTCAACTATCTCAGTCAACCACATACATTTGGGCACAATCACTGCTCTTCTCTCCTTATGGGTTGCACATTTACTGTCAAGAAATGAAGTATATTAGGCCCATATGAAGCTCAGGAGGCAGTGACACCCTCCCATTCCACCAAGTACTGTACTTTGCCGTCGTTAGTGACACGGCGAGCGAGCACACGGTACTTCTCCCCACAGGCCAGGCGTCCTGCAGCTCCGAAATAAGTGCTGATGGAACTCTTGAGGTGGTTGAGCTGGGTGTTGGGGTCCAGGCCCTGCATGATGTCCATGCCGCTGTAGAGGCAGGAGGGGAGGGGGCTGGGCTCGGGAACGTTGTTGCTGGGTTGCAGCTCTGGGTTGCAGGGTGGCGGAATCTCTGGATTCGGGGGCTGCAGTGCTCGTCGTGGACGTCCCCGGCGTCTCTTAATCGGCGGCTGTGTGACGGTGGGCCATAAGCATCCAGTGCGTGGTCCACTCGGATTGCACAAACTAGAGATGAACAGGGTACACATATCATACAGAATAAGAGTTATAATTTGCTCTTGAAAAATTAAGCGTGAAGTTCTGTATCTCTGATAGAGGTCAGCATAAATATTAAGTTTATCTGAACCTCATCCGTAAAAGAGACTAGAGTTTTATTGTGCACAAAAAGAATGGTTAAAATTTAAACTTAGAAATGTATACAAATGATAAAAAAAAAAATAAAAAAAATTTTTTTTTTATATATATACAGTGGGTACGGAAAGTATTCAAACCCCCTTAAATTTTTCACTCTTTGTTATATTGCAGCCATTTGTTAAAATCATTTAAGTAAATTTTTTTTCCTCATTAATGTACACACAGCACCCCATATTGACAGAAAAACACAGAATTGTTGACATTTTTGCAGATTTATTAAAAAAGAAAAACTGAAATATCACATGGTCCTAAGTATTCAGACCCTTTGCTGTGACACTCATATATTTAACGCAGGTGCTGTCCATTTCTTCTGATCATCCTGGAGATGGTTCTACACCTTCATTTGAGTCAAGCTGTGTTTGATTATACTGATTGGACTTGATTAGCAAAGCCACACACCTGTCTATATAAGACCTTACAACTCACAGTGCATGTCAGAGCAAATGAGAATCATAAGGTCAAAGGAACTGCCTGAAGAGCTCAGAAACATATATATATATATATATATATATACACACACACACATTTCATGACTTTCAAACTCAGAAAATTACTGTAATAAAGCCTTTTTTAAAAGTGAAAATAAGCATTTATTTATCAATTATATAAAGTCTGTATAAAATGTATAAATTGAAACAAATAATTAATAAATTAATATACACTACCATTTAAAAGTTTGAGGTCAGTAAAATTTTGTTTTTGAAAGAAGTCTCTTCTGTTCACCAAGAATGCATTTGGTGGGGGGGAAAAAAAGTAAAATCAGGAATATTGTAAATTAAATATTATAAATTAACATTTTAATACTTTACTAATTTCCATTTCTAATTTTAATATTAAGTTAAGTTTTCTATTTGAATATATTTCCTATCTGAATACATTTTAAAATGTAACATTACTGTCTTTTCACATGATCATTCAGAAATTATAATATGCTGATTTCATGCTTAAGATATATTTCTTCTTAATATCAATGTTGAAAACAGTTCTTCTGCTTAATATTAAATTATTTTTTCTGTCTTTTTTTCTTTAATGAATATTAAGTTCAGAAAAACAGCATTTATTTCAAATGGAAATATTTGTAACATTATGAAAGTCTTTACTCTCACTTTTGATCAATTTAATGTGTCCGTGATGAATAAAAGCATCTTTCTGGCCCTTTTTAAACTTCTAAATGGTATAATCACATACTGAGGATGAATAATTGTCATGAAAACTAAATGAAAAATAAATCACCTGGACTGCCTTGAGAGGGTGGTTGAGGTAGTTTCACTGGTGCTGGTGGCACCAACGGATTCAACATCTGAGGTACTTGATGAAGGCAAAGATTTTTCACTTTTAGCACTAAAAAAATGTAATGGGAAAAGAGTGGGATTTTTGTAATTCAACAATTTCTAGAAAGAATTTTGTGTTAATCCCTGCCTCACCTTTTTGAAGCCACCAGGTCCAGTGAGTTGTTGTCTAGAGTTGGAAACTTCCCATCATTCTGCATTAAAAAAAAAGTTAAAAACTAAATGTTAATGTCCACATTAATTAAACGATGTGTTTGTAGATGATAAACAAAACCATGAAACAAAACCAGCAAATAATGTAAAAATTAATCTCACTTCTTTACCTGTGCCAAAAGTTCACTTGATCTTCTCAGTTTGGCCAACATCTCTAAGGAGTGTGTGTGATGCTTCCTCTTTCCTTTCTTCACTCCATTAGTGACAGTGCTAAACCAATTACAAAAGGCAAATAAAAAAAAACAATAAAACTGAAGCTTAGAGTACATCATAAGATACGTTCATGACAGTGAAGCCAATAGAATTAAATAAGCGATGACTAACCTGAATGAATGAGGGGGTTTGGTGGCCTTCCTGCCTTTGATTTTGATCTCATGGGAGGCTTTTTCCGGCTCTCGACCTGACAGGAGCTCAGAATTCTGGGGGGCAGGTGGGAAGCGAATGCGTAATCCAAACAGATGTTTCTTCTTTTTTATCTCTTTCCCTGACATGAACCTAAAACCCACCAGGGTAAAAAAAGAAGATAAATTCATTCAAGCTTTACTGTATTAAGGTAAAATGCCCATGATGGGCATACAGTCTGGTTTCCACCCTTTTCATAGCACAGAAACTGCACTTATAAAAATCACTAATGACCTTCTTATGGCAGCTGATTCTGGTTTAGTCACTATTCTTGTCCTCCTTGATCTAAGTGCGGCCTTTGACACCATTTCTCACACCATCCTTCTCAATAGACTAATCTCTATTGGCATCACTCACACCCCTCTGGATTGGTTTAAATCTTATCTTTCAGGGCGCACTCAGTTCATCCAGCTACAATCTTTTAGTTCCCAACCTTCTCCCGTCAATACTGGTGTGCCTTCGGGCTCTGTCCTGGGACCCCTTCTTTTCATCATTTATCTTCTTCCTCTTGGCAATATATTTTGGGAACACAACATCCTATTCCACTGTTAGGCAGATGACACCCAACTCTATCTCTCCAACAAACCTAATTCCACTCTCCCTCCTTCCGCTCTCACTGACTGTCTCAACAAACTTAAATCCTGGTTTTCTTCTAATTTTCTCAAACTAATCAGTGACAAAACGGAATTTCTTTAATTGGCACTAAATCAACTTTATCCAAAACTAATAGTCTTCCCTTCTCCTCAAGTTAAGAGTTTGGGTGTCCTCCTGGACAGTACAGTCAATTCAATCACATATTAATAAAATCACCCGGTCCGCCTATTTTCATCTACGTAATATTAACCACCTTCGCCCTTCCCTTACCCCTCATTCTACTGTTATTCTTGTTCACAGTCTTGTCATCGCCTGCATCGATTATTGTAATTCTCTTCTCTTTGGTCTTCCTCACAAATCCCTCTATAAGCTTCAATTGCTTCAAAACTCAGCAGCCCGTATTATCGCCAGAATCCCTTTCACCACATGACCCCTGTTTTACAGCAGCTTCACTGGCTTCCGGTTAAGTTTCGCATTGACTAAGATTCTCGTTCACTTTCAAGGTCATCCATAATCTTGCCCCTTCATATCTGTCCGACCTCCTCTATATCCATACTCCCTCTCGCTCACTTCGATCTGCTTCTTCTCTTCACCTTACTGTTCCTTTTGCTCGCCTCTCCACCATGGAGAGCAGGGCCTTTAGCTGCTCTGCTCCCCGGCTCTGGAATTCACTACCACCAGACATCAGAAATATTGACTCTCTATCTCTTTTTAAATCTAGACTTAAGTCTCACCTGTTTAAGATTGCATATCTCACCTAAAGTTTAATTCTCTCGTCCCACTTTACTCCGTTTTGTCTTTGTATATGGTATTTCTTGTTTTCTATTGTCTTGTTTGTAAATTTATTGTGCGGTGTCCTTGAGTGTTGTAAAAGGCACCTTTAAATAAAATTTATTATTATTATTATACAGATAAACTCACATGTTGAGGTTGCTGTTAAGTGCTTCCAGAATGCATTCATATCGTTCTGCTCTTGGGGTATCTGCAAGCTGGAGGTACAAAGCCATAAATCAGGGGTGGGCAAACTTGGCCCTTCCAGCCCACTTTTCTTCAGAGTTTAGCTCCAACTCTATTCAAACACACCTGAACCCAGCTAATCATTCTCTTCAAGACTACTAGAAAGCTACAGGCAGGTGAGTTTTATCAGGGTTGGATCAAATCTCAGCAGGAAAGTGGCCTGGAAGGGCCAAGTTTGCCCATCACTGCCATAAATGAAATGAAGGGACATTAACACTAGCTGATTAACTAATGCAATTACAATGACTAGCCAGACCAATACCTTGCCAAGCTGAAGCCTGTCCCAGTTTTCATTGATGTAAGTCATCAGTTCGAGCTCTGAGTCAAAGTATTTCTTTTTATGAATTACACTCAGGTTATAGAGGCTCAGGTGTGCAACATCTTCCCTGTGAATGGAGACAACACATGTGATGGAACAAAAAATTCCTTGGTAAAACTATTTAAATAAAAAGTTGGGGATGCACAGAAATTTTGGCCGATATCAGTAAGACGACTTTACTGTTACTTTACTGTTACGGCGGATAACTGATATATGGCAGATGTGAAATACTATATTGTCTTAATAAATTAAAATGTGTTAATTATGTTAATTTTTATTACATTCTTAATTATTTTAAATCCTACAGGTAAATTTGGACAACACAACATTATAATGTACAGTATGTAAAATGGATTTTCATAATTTTTGTGTTTTGGCCAATAATCCAAATAATAAATAATGGCTTATATTAAAAATCTATACTATTTACTAAATTCCATAAATAAAAAATAAGGCACTTAAGAGCAAATAAATCATTTTAAATGCTACAAGTACATTTAGCTAAAACAACAGTATAATGTACTACGTAAAAAATGGATATTCATTTTGAGAATACATTTAACAGTGTTATTAAATGATTGGTGTTTTTAAAATAAATTTTAACTAAACATTGGATTAAACTACAAGTATTACAAGCTAATCCTAAATGGAAAACAGAAGAAATGAACATGAACAATTAAATAGCCAGTAACGACCAACTGGGGGAAGAAAAAAAAAACTCACCATCTCAGAGGCAAACGTTTGAGGTACTCTGGTCCACTATTACAAACAGAACAAATAAATAGATAGAACCTGAGAATAAAGAAGGTAAATGTTAATTAAATGACAAAACTTCAACCACTGGCTTTCATTTTAATCAAATGATTGGAGAGCAGTACTTCACCTGTCTCCAAAGAGCATGGGCTTCTGAAAACACTGGATGCAAGCTTCATGAAACCACTGTTTACACTTATTACACTGCAACATCTTCAGATACCAGCTGTGGGAGGAAAGAGTCATTACAATTCCGCTGGGGCCATTCTGTACCTACAATCATCTGCAACTTATGATCCAATGCCTGATCTTAGTGGGGTTTATCTTAAGGAGAAGAACTATATTAACCAACACTGTTTTCTGCAACAGTGTCTAGGTGTTGCACTTACTCGCCAGGCCCTCCACAGTAGCAGTAGCATTGCTGGATGTTGGTCTTGTGGCCCTGGTCCCAGACTAAATCTTCAATGGCGTATGGCAGAGACTGCTTCATTTCCTGTAGGGCTTTGGCATTTGGCCCTTTCTTCAGTGCACCGCCTCTCTATGATTTCAGAGATACAACCACAACAATTCATGATAGATAAACATGCCTGTAGTATCTATATATCACTCAATTCTAAGGTGGAGTCAGAACTCTGGAGATTTATTCAAATCAGAAAAAAGTATCATTATTTCCACTAAAACATTACGCAGTGCAACCGTTTTCAACACAGATAATAATAAGAAATGTTTCTTAAACACCAAAACTTCTGAAGAATCATGTGACATTGAAGACTGGAGTAATGGGTGCTAAAAATTCAGCTTTGCCATCACAGGAATAAATTAAAATGGAAAATGGTTATTTTAAATTGTAATGATATTTCACAATTTTATTATTTTTACTATATTTCCAAAAAACACAGTCTTGGAGAGGCATGGGAATTCGTTTTTTCTTAAAGGGGTCATATGATGCTGCTAAAAAGAACATTATTTTGTGTATTTGGTGTAATGAAATGTGTTTATGTGGTTTAAAGTTCAAAAAACACATTATTTTCCACATACTGTACATTATTGTTTCTCCTCTATGCCCCGCCTTTTTAAAACGCGTCGATTTTTACAAAGCTCATCGGTCTGAAAAAGCGAGGTGTGCTGTGATTGGCCAGCTATCCAGTGCGTTGTGATTGGCCGAATACCTCAAATGTGTGACGGAAATGTTATATATGGAAATACCGTGTCCGGCCGGAGCGACGAGACAAAAACATTAAAACCCATTATAAACGAGGCATTTGTTGCATCCAGTGGAGACATAATTACTGATTATAATGACTTATACTGTCTTTTTACACATTGCATTGCGCCGTGTAAACATAAAACTCTGTCTGCATTTGTGATCGGAGAAATGACAAACAACAAGTGCTACTCTACTGCCCAAAACTCACGTTTGAATCATCAGTGGAAAATCCTTTAAATGAAAACGTACTTACTTGAGTCAGAACTGCCGGCACTGTAGTCTAGCGTTACTCTCCCAGGATCAGTAAACAGTCCTCCATAAAATGTGCTGCACACATCTGGATATTTGGGTTAAACTGTTCTGGAACAGTGTTGTAAATACAACTTAACAACTGATTTGCGGTCGTGTCCTCTTTTGGAAGACCAAACAAAGTAGTTTCGCTTTCACAACGAAAAACACAGCAGCCTAGCGTGAGGGGAAGCCCCAGCTTAGCGTGCGCTGAGGCCGGGATAGAGTGAGCTGAGGTGGCGGGGTCGAGAACGGCGCGCCCAGCGGATGAGACGAATGAGCGGCAACCACATGTGACGGACCCCGGGCTGGACTCCGCTTTGTAGGGCTGGGTATCGTTAAATTTTTTTTGATATCGATACCTTGACTTCAATACCGGTTCCTGAACGATACTTTTTTCGATACCAATTTTATGAAATCAATTTTAACAAGATTACATTAACAAAAAAACTTTGGTTTTATTTTTCAGCTTCTTGATGTTTATACAAACTCGAAGACTCATCTCCTGAGCCACTGCACAAAGGAACAAAATGTAACCAACACAATAAATCAGTGCAAAATAGTCTTCAGTTTACACATCTATTAGGCTACGTTTACACTAGTGTGTGTTTGTTTTAAAACACATAGCTCAGACAGAATCATGATTTCTATTTATTTTCCATGGATTTACTGATGAGCATTAGCTGTTTTTAGTGCTGTCTGCCTGACTCAGAGGAAGCTCATTCGCTGCTCATATGTCAGTCATATTAAGCGTTCATAACTCGCCCTGTCTCCTATGACGAACATCCATTACACTTCCGCATTCAATTCTGTACATAAGAAACCCATGAAAACATTTCCACGGATGAAACATGAAGCTAATAAACACTCGATTACGACAGTATATGATTTGTACATGATTTTCATGGGATTCTGCCTATGTCTCTCAGCAGCGTTCAGCAGCAGCGTCTACTAATAGCGAATCTTTAAGTTAAACTCCTTCATGAACCTCGCTACGGAGTCATGTAGCTTTTCAGCTGCGAAACTATTTTACTGATAAATTCGCAGTGCAGCGCTGACAAGAAGTTTCTGTTCGCGTCTCCGCCTGTCTGCACTGTGTGTGCGTCTGTGAGAGAGACTGGGAGAAAGAAAGCGTGATTTCCGTAGCCTACATAAAAAAGGTGGAAGACATGGAAATAGCTTGTAATTTTTTTTCCCTATTGTTTGTTATATTTATTTGCTCAATGTCTTGAGCAATGCGTAAATCCAGCCCTGTTAGACGGCAATCGGAAGTTATTACAAACACTCGATGGTGGTATAAAGTGAGTTTTGAGTAAAAGCAGAATATAAATCTTTATTTATTGTCTTATGTAGCATGATGCTACAGTTTGCATGAATGGTCACATAACACACACTTTCGGTCGTGTAATGTTAGTATGAACGGACATCTGCATATGATTGGAACTCCACACAGCTCCCGCGCTACTCTCCATTGGAAATTAATGACCGGTATGTTGCTTGTCGGAGATAGTGGAAAGCCGACTTGAAATGCAGTGGAAACGCCAGTACGATGAGGATAGTTTTCATTTTAGAACAAACGCACCAGTGTAAACGCATTCACACTACAGCCTCACGTGTGCCACTCTCTGGGTGTGTTCAACTTGACGCGGACCGACTGTGCAGACCGATCGGTGCATTACAGTACCACGAGAGCTAAAGAGAGCAGACTGCTCTGTGCGCTTTTGAATCGCTCTCGCGGATGATCGATCTGCGCCGCACCTCTAGTTGAACACACCGGCAAGTGCTGCAGGCTTATTGGTTCACTGACGCTGATGAGATTAACCACTTAGCTATCGAAATTTGGTACCGAACGACGAGACGTTTTTCGATACTCGATGGTATCGAGGCAATTCGGTCGGTGCCTAAAAAGTATCGAACTCGATACCCAGCCCTACCGCTTTGTCCACGGTGAAAGTTGATGTATTCCCTCAGCAACCAGCACGGATCAGCTCTAGGCATGACGAAGCGGATATCGTTCTCTTTTGGAAGACCAAACAAAGTAGTTTCGCTTTCACAACGAAGCACACAGTGCCTTCACGACATGGCTGCAGCGTCAACAATACTACAGTGAGAATAAAAGTTATGCCTTCTTTCTTTGCGTGAACATTTGGGCGGCATTATGCAAATCTTCCCACATAGGGAGGCAGATACGCGGGGGCGTGTTAGAACGAGCCATTTTAGGTAGGCGTGGCTGACTCTGAACTGTTATAAAGAATATCTCTTTGGATTTGATACGTTAGTCTTTACAACTTTACAGATCTTCTTTATGCACCAAGAGCTTGTAACACTTGTAAAGTGCACCAAGAGCTTGTAACGCTTGTAAAGAGAAAGGAAAAATTGAAATCGCATCATATGACCCCTTTAATTCACCCAGCAGTTGCAGCAAAAGGTTAATTTTGTACCTCATACAGAAGACTACAAAGTTTTTATATTCCATACATTATACAACTAATCCCACATCCACAACCCTTATGTAAGAATGAATGTTTTGGTTCGCATCTGTTGCAACAATATTTTGAATATACTTTAAAGAAAATTGGAATCTGCAAAAATCAGTATTGGTAGGTCACACTTGAAATTGGAATCGGCCAAGAAAAACAAACCTTTGTTGTTGTAGCAAACACGCACTGTCTGCACAGCCATTTGTCATCAGAGTTGATGACACTGGAGTCAATTATGGGAGCGTGGCATAGCTGATGGTATCCTACGGAAGAGATATTGTCAGGGGTGAAATAGGGAACTCAATCCCTTATACTGTTGAGTGAAGTGACTCAGATTTACAAGTAAAATAGTTACAGTCTACCTTGTCCACATTTGTCACAGATAACTATTTCATTGGGGGGCTCGGAGCTTTCATTCTGGCATATAGAGCAGAGCATTTCCCCTCCACTGTCCCCTGAAAGAAGGAACAAAGAAAATTAAGTGTGCAGATGTACGTGACTGTTTTATCCTTTACAGATGGAAACAGTGGGTCTCATTCACTAATAACTGCATAGATTATTTCATATTTGTATGCACAGGATAACTTTTCATTACAAAAATTCCACCTAATTCACAAGACATGTATACGCAAATGAATTTGTTCAGAACCTCATTCTAATATTTTGGAAATTTGGAGAGACAGAGGTTAATAAGCATGCCAGAGGTTAGCCATTTGAATAAAACGTGCCCCAACTATCTCCATTCTCCATATAAGGGCTTTATGCACAACCTTTCTTTTACAGCCTTTAGTCACTTTAGCACCCTCTAAAGAAGCAAAATCCTTGAGCAATCACAAGTGTGCTTTCCTAAAAAGCACATTCAAACACAATAAACATTTTTTATACACATTCACATTACAGACCTCTCATTAGGCAGCTGTACATACATGTACTGTATATCTGCTTTGTTATTTAGAGAAACCTTGATGCTCGAGCTATTACACAGGTTTTCTTATTCTTTCATTTTATATGAAAAAAAATTAAGACAAAATATACATTTCATCTTAACATGATAATGACACCCAGAGTATGTGCTTTTTGCATGCATGGTTTTAGTTGTTCCTACATGTTTTTTTTTTTTAGTTTAAAATACATTTTTGTACAAAAGTTTTAGGTGAATCATTATTTGTTTCTGAAAACATTCATATGCAAATTGTGCACATGCATACTTAGTGAATGAGACCCAGTGACTGCATTTATGAGAGGTGGACAGCGCCTAAAGGTGACTAAAGGGGGTTGCTGTTCGAATATTTCTGAACTACTAATGGAAATTGTTCAAACCACACAAAAGATCACAAAAGGAGGAATGGTATGCCATAGTTGCCAGCCGAAACTGATGGTGAACACCACCGTGAAATACTTCACTGCAACTGCCACTTGAAACAAATCAGAACTAAAGACAAAACTATGAGAACATTTATTTTATGCCTAAGCATTAACGCCTTTGTTGAATTGTTACCAAGAGATACACCGACAGATGCCATAGGTACCTTCCCTATTCTTGTCTCCTGGCTCGATGTGGGACTTACGGTTTGTGTAAGCCTGGAGACTCTGAGGTCTGTCAACTGTCAGGGACAAATTAAGAGATAACTCAGGCTGAATGAAGAACATAGGGAAGAGAAACCAAAAGGCGGCAAACAGCAAAACCACAAGTCAGACAGCATGAAAGCAGCAGCCTAATAGAAGAACTGACCAATCTTCTATTAAAATGACCAGAAGGAAAGTATAAATATATTTTATAGCAAAAGAGAACCAGTATTAAAATCAGCCAGTTGATGGTGCACATAAATCTATGTCAGGATGTTCAAGATCTCATTACAAAACCCACCTCAGAGATGCCATCAAGACACAAGACTAGTAACATTTTTTTAATCAGAAAAAATATAAAAGTTTGTATTTACCTGTCTGAATGTCCTTCCACAGAACCCAGGATTTAGACTGATCTTCAAAAATCACAAAGCAGCGATGCTTATGTTTATCTATCTGTGGAAAGCATAAATCAAAAGAAGTTCTGATTAATCTAGATAAGACTCTTTGTGGTTTATATTATACTCATTCTTTCTGGTTATAGTATGATTAAAGGGAGTATTAATGCCTGCCCACTACAAGGCAAATCACAACATTTACAAAGCTTGATTTGAGGTAGGGCTGTCACGATTATGAAATTTGTCTGACGATTAATTGTCTAAAAAAAAGTCACGGTTATTGCGACTAATTCTCTGTTTTAGGGCTTTGGCGATTGTCTGTTTTTTTATGGCTTTCATTATTGTGATTAATTTAATGGTTCCGTAAATAATTATGATGTTATCTTTTAATCTTTTTTGAGTTATTATTTTGCAGTGTAAGCTTACATAGAGTATTCCAAATTCTAAGAATTGGCCAATTCCGACACCAGCGCTATTTTTTTTTCTACACCACTTCAGAATATCAATACTGTGTTTGTGGAACTAATGGTCACTCTTTTTTAAACCCTTTGTTAAACACAATCCACTAAATACTCACTTCCTCATTACAGAGAAAAACTACTTTTTAAAAAAATTTAAATATATAAGCCATGAAATTAAACTAGCTGACTATATAATTTAGCAGCAAAAACAATATCTTGAAAAAAAATCTTTGGTGCACATTATACAATTTAGGGTGTACTCACACTAGGCGTTTTAAATCGTGCCCGAGCGCGTTTGACCCCCAAAGCCCGGTTCGTTTGACTAGTTTGAGCGTTCCGTGCCACGCTCGGGCACGGTTCGTTTAGCCATCCCAGGCCCTGTTGGAAGAGGTGGGCCAGGGCAACGGTTCGGTTGGGCTTGGATGCATGCAGTGTGAGCACTAACCGCGCCAGAGCACGGAACGTAGGAAATGTAGTTTGCGAGTAAAGCTGCAAATTATTTAATTAACGTCAGCTGCCTCCGTAATAATTCTCTGATACATACAAGTGAAAATCAATGCACAACATAAATTATAAATTATTTATTATTAATTATTCGGCAGAATATTAGCGAAAGTGCTTCTTGTCACAGAATGAGGCAGAAAATATGTTCCATATGCTGCTTTTAAAATAATACATCGATTAGCAATAGATTATAAATTAGGGTGACCATACGTCCTCTTTTCCCCAGACATGTCCTCTATTTGAACCTACAAAAATGTGTCCGGCCGGGATTTCTTATTTGCTCAAAATGTCCGGGATTCGGCTGTTTTCTTAATCCCACTCCCACTGAATCTCTGACCATTGCCACCTGCTCCCGCAACATGTGTTTCGCTCCCGCGATTTTCGTGTTCACTGACAGACATTGACTGACAGTAAACATTCTAATATTGTATATCATTTTGGTGCATCAGGGAGCCGCTCTCAGTATGCGGAGTATTTAAATATTTTTGAATGAGCGTTAGTGCTGTTTACTTTCACTTTCGATTTCGCGATCACACGCACTCTGTGTAAAGGTAGCACATCTTACAAGATCAGATATTTGTCAATGAGCTCAGAATCTGTTGAGCAGTAAATACTCCAGCATGGTCTTATCAGTCATCTCTCCTTATTCTTGACCTGTGATCAGTCAAAGCTGACTCCGGTAGCTCTTGTTGGATGCAGGGTTGCCAAGTAGGGTTGTGCCAATAGACGATAGTATCGTGTATCGACGATAGTCAGAGATATCGACGATAGCAGATGTCTTTGTCGATAGCCAAGACGATATTAGGATATTATTATTATTATTTAATACATTAATAGGATAATTCCTATTAATGTACTAAATAATAATAATAATAATAATAATAATTATTATTATTATTATTAGGCGGCCCATTATAATTCAGCTATTATTATCAAATTGCCCCGCTTTTTCATTCAGCACTGTATTTCACACACACACGTGTGCGCGCGCAAAACAGGAGCCTGTAGCCGGTGAAGGAGTCTCCAACCACAAACACAGACACATATCGTCTGCTGATATAAAGTATTTCGTTGCACTTTAACAAGTAATCTGAACGGCCTATAGAGGGCTCTCGACTGCGACCAATTTTTGAGAATGTGCGAGTTAAAATTTGACGTGGTCATGGCCGAGGCACATTGTAGCAGGAGTCAGATTTCACTGATCATGTGAAGAGAGGCGTGAAGGAGCGCGCCGCAGATGGAGCACAACGGAGGATTTGGTATACAAACTAAAGTAAAAGACAGCTTCTTAAACCAGAGAAGGTGAACATGTTGGTATTCATGTCTTTGTCGATAGCCAAGACGATATTAGGATATTATTATTATTATTTAATACATTAATAGGATAATTCCTATTAATGTACTAAATAATAATAATAATAATAATAATAATTATTATTATTATTATTAGGCGGCCCATTATAATTCAGCTATTATTATCAAATTGCCCCGCTTTTTCATTCAGCACTGTATTTCACACACACACGTGTGCGCGCGCAAAACAGGAGCCTGTAGCCGGTGAAGGAGTCTCCAACCACAAACACAGACACATATCGTCTGCTGATATAAAGTATTTCGTTGCACTTTAACAAGTAATCTGAACGGCCTATAGACTGAAGCGCTCTTTTTAACTTAACCAAACGCATTCTATATGAGATAAATCAGATATACATCAAATAAACACAATATTACAATGTACAATTGCACAAAAGGCTGCAAACGAACAGCGCGCATCTGAAGTGTCTCTGAAGGAAATAATCCATTATTTATCGGCTTTAAGATATCGGCCAAATTTTCTTATCAGGCCGATACCGATAACAGAAAAAATGAGCCGATATGGGCCGATACCGATATGGTGGCCGATATATCGTGCATCCCTATTATTATTATTATTTATTTGATTCCAGTGTTTTTTAAACATTCTGTAATTTATTAGTCGGTATATACAGCATATGATGTATCCTATGCCATGCCTTATCTTATTCGTTTTTGTTAATAAAGGTTATGTAAGCTAGTTTGTCATTGTAGCCTACTGTTTTATTGTTGTTGTGCTTTTTAATTAGGAATAACAATAAATCCATCTTTTGTTTTAGTCTTAAAAAGTGAGCCACGGCACATTGTAGCAGGAGTCAGATTTCACTGATCACGTGAAGAGAGGCAATTTCAGTGCGAGCGAGAAGGTGCGCGCCGCGGATGGAGCGTAATGGAGGATTTGGTTTACAAACTAAAGTAAAAGACAGCTTCTTAAACCAGAGAAGGTGAACATGTTGGTATTCTTGTGGAAAAAAACATGCAAGTCCTATCAGCGACAGCCAGTTTAGTTTTACTTTTCTTTTTGTTTTCGTTTTGAAAAGCTTATGTTTGCGGTTTACCTCGCGTTACACTATGGAGGCTTTCCTTATTTATTTTATTATTATGTAATTTATTAGTCGGTATATACAGCATATGATGTATCCTATGCCATGCCTTATCTTATTCGTTTTTGTTAATAAAGGTTATGTAAGCTAGTTTGTCATTGTAGCCTACTGTTTTATTGTTGTTGTGCTTTTTAATTAGGAATAACAATAAATCCATCTTTTGTTTTAGTCTTAAAAAGTGAAAGGTGTAGATATAAGCAAAACAGACACTTATCTTTTCTTGTAAAACATGACACCAAGATCGCGAATTTGAAAGTGAAAGCGCACGAAAAGAGGAATTCCTGTTCACAAAATTTACCAGTGGGAAGAATGAGTCTAGAGCCCTGATATATGTGCAATATTTTAACCGAGCCCTCACTAACGGAGTTTAATGCCACAGTTATGTTAGAACGCATCTCATTCTCGTTTCTGTGGCGGTGCGTCGGGCTCATCATGGGGCGCCCAGCGCAGTCCGGAGCGCTGTATGACTGATGTATCTTTTTAATTTAAATTTACTCCAAATATATGAACTTACCCATTTTAAATACTTTATACTTAACGTGTTCGTTTATATCCAATATTTAGTGTTAATCTGTTGGTCTTTAAAATAAATCTACTTTTGATTTTCACCGTTGACTGATTTTGCAGACCTTTTAGACTGATAACGTCAGTTATCCTTGTCACAGGATGCGCGGTCCTAATAGCGATGTATGACTGTTGTATCCGAATATATATGAACTAGCCGTTTTAAATATTTTTGTATTTAACATGTTAGTTTATCAGTATGTTTGAAAGTATATTATTTAGATTTGTGGTGCTTCCATAGGCTCCCTCTCTCTCTCTCTCTCTCTCTCGCGCGCGCGCCGTTTAAAACACCAAATAGTTATGAAATAGCATATGATAAGTACAGAGAGCCTCTCTCTTGTATTGAAACATTTGGCATTCTACTAGGGCTGGACAATAATTCAATATCAATATGAATCACGATATATATATTTTTTTCAATAACGGTGATATGGTTTTTAAACATTTTCGATATAGCCTACATTACCAGTGTTTCCCAAACATTGATTTATTTGTGGCGTTTGACTTCATTGAATAAACATGAGCACTGCACATTTTAAAATCAAAACTTGTCGCGGGTGTTTTATATGAATGTATCTCTAAAGGGAAAGGACTGTCTTCAGAAAAGTTTCGATGGGATTTTTATTTTATCTAATAAAGAAGTGTTCATGAGCGGAGCTGATTTGATTACAGCCGTTACTGGAAAAACCGCTAGTTCAACCCTCTTAAAGCGCCTCCTGCTGGCAGAGAATCAGTTTGCACTTTTCATTCTCTTTATACTGACTATCAGCCTACACTACCAGTCAAATGTTTTTGAACAGTAAGATTTTTAATGTTTTTTTTTGTTTGTTTTTAAGAATTCTCTTCTCCTTACCAAGCCTGCATTTATTTGAAACAAAGTACAGCAAAAAAAATATTTAAATATTTTTACTATTTAAAATAACTGCTTTTTATTTGAATATATTTTAAAAATGTAATTTATTCCTGTGATCAAAGCTGAATTTTCTGCATCATTACTCCAGTCTTCAGTGTCACATGATCCAGAAATCATTCTAATATGCCGATTGGCTGATTATCAATATTTAAAACAATTG